GTCGCCTCCCATTCAACTTCAAATTCAAATTCAAAATTCAAATTCAAAAAAGAAAAAAAATGGAGGGAAGGAGACGAATCGTCACCTTCCCAAAATGTGATACCTGTCACAGGTGCCACGTGGCAAGCCACGTCACACCTGTGAGGGGCAAATGTTTAGGGTAAAATTACCCTATGCCACGTGGCCCAATAGCATGCTGACATGTGTCAGCCTCAGAGAGGCCCAAGGGGATCCAATCCTCTACTGACACGTGGCACCTTAACCCTAAAAGGGGAACTGATCCCCTTCCACTATAAATAGAGGAAAATCTTCATTTATTACACACAAATAAATACAAACACAAAAAACCGAGCAATATTTATTGCAAAATTCTCTCTGAATCAAAGAGAAAATCCTTTACTTTCCGCACATTTATACATCCGGAAACGTTCTAATTTGATTTTCGAAGGCGGAACTCCACCCAACCGGAGTTTTGTGGTTTTGCAGGTACAGACGGTCGACGCGCATTCCCGGATTTGTAACTCTCCCGAGTAATTCCAAATACCCCAAAACACTAGCAATATAAAATAAAATAAGTAATTAAATTAATTAATTACTCAAGTTTTGCACGCTTCTATAAATTGCTACATCATGAAAAAATTGTTAGTAACTTCAATAAATATATAAATCAAATTGAAAATAAGTGAAATAAAAGTAGAGTTGATTTGGTCCAACCCTCAATTGGTTCTACCTTTCAAGCCTCAGGTTAAGTATAGAACTTCGGGTTTTGTATGGACTCCTTGGAGTGGTTAGGGAAGAATGGTGTAATTAGGAGAATAGGTTTAAGGCTTAGAATGAGAGAGAGAGAGGAATTAGAATATGTGTTGGTGCCCCAAAACTGTAAAATCAGCTTTGTATTTATAGAGGAAATGCAAAGGGTGAGGCACAAAACCCTAGAAATGAGGCGTCGCGAAGGAATAAAGTGTCGTGGGTCAAAATAATTGTCGCGACACGGCAATCTCTGCCGTGTAAAGGTATTTTTACCGTGGTGCGGTAATTTCCAGTTTTTACGTGTTTTTAAAACTTTGATAACTTTTGATCCGTAACTTGGAATTAGGCATATAATATATCGTTGAACTGATCTTCAAGTCTAGTTTCCAAAATAATTAGAATCAGGTCAAAAATCTTTTGTATATTTTTAGATATGGCCGTTTTAGTGCAAGGGTGTCGGTTTTGGGCTGAGTTTTAGTGTTTTGCTCATATCTTCTTCGTTTTATATAGGAATTGGGCTTATGATATACCGTTGGAAATATTATTTCAAGTCCTATCCAAAAAATTATATTTGGATCAAAATTTTAGGGACATAAAATCAGTTTAACTCGGTTTTTTTTATGTGGACACGAAAAGAGGAAAATAAGTTATAGTTTGGGGAAATGGGCTATGAATTGGGTTGTTTTATGAAATGTATTAGATTGAATATGAATTTAAGCACTCCAAAGATTAAATACTTAACCCGACTCATAATGGCGGTGAAAGGTTGTTCATTATCGGGTTTGGTTTCGGGGAGACATTTTTAGATGGCTATAGTAAGGTTAAGTGGTTGAATTACTTTTATATGCTTTCAATAAATGTCATAAGTGAAGTTATTATTGTTTCAATCTTTCTATGTTTTGGAATTAATTAAGTTTTTTCATGGTGTGTTCCTTTTATTTTCAAGTATGGTATGAATAACCAGGGATTATGTCTTTAAGAGCAGGGAATAGGCGATCTGGTTACAAAGTAGGCAAGGTCCTTTGGAAGTTAACCAACATAGCTGAAAACATCATGCAAGTGGTGAACCAAGTAAACTGTCATTCTTACTCGGATTCTTATAGTGAAACCTTTAAAAGGATAACCGCAGCTAAACCACCTGTGTACTTGGGAAAGGAGGACCCAACCAGCCTTGAAAAGTGGATTAGGGAGTTTGACAAGCTATTGATGCCATCAATTGCCCAAGTGAGTTGCGGGTGAATAATGGTGCTTATTATCTAAGGGAGGAAGCTGACTTGTGGTGGACCCAAAGGAAGGATGAGTTGAAGAAACCTAACTTTGGGTGGGATGAGTTTAAAGAAGCCTTGAGACAGAAGTTTTACCCAACCTACCTAAGAAAGCAAAAGTGTATGGAGTTTACCAAAATATCATGATGGGAAGTATGTCTATCAATGAGTTGTACAACAAATTCATTGAACTAATGAGGTTTGCACCTGATATTGTCCCAACTGAAACTATCAAAGCCAAGAGGTTCGAGCAAGGCCTAACTTTAACCCTTCAAGGGGAGCCAGGGGGGAGTGACTTTTGAAACCTTGGATAAAGTTTATGGTTATGCTGCACATTTATAAAGGATTAGGGTAGGGGAGATTGAGAGTTCCGAGCGAGGGAGAGAAAAGTAATAGTTCCGAGCCTGTTCACGGAGGTGAAAAGAAACACAAGCCAAATGAGAATTCTCAGAGGTATTGAGGTTTTAATGGAAGGAGGGAGAATAAGGGAAACTTTGGGAAGGGAAATGATGGACAAGAAACCACTGTTCGAGGAAATGGGGATCGAGGAAACAGTGATAAATCCAAGAGATTGCATTTTTGTAGAAGGTGTAAGAAGAACTACCCTGAAAAAGATTGTGAAGGTAATCCGTGACTTGTCATTATTGTCAAAAGATGGGACACTGTAGATATGAATGTTTTAAGAAGGAATCTGATATAAAGGCAGGGAAAGTTCAAGAGAGTAATAACCTATTCAAGCCATCTCTATCTAGTGGACCATAAGTTGGGACCAGTAGCAATGAGGGAATGTTCCTAAGGGGCGTGTGTTCGTAATGAATAATTGTGAACGTGAAAGCTTTGAATGATTTGATATGTTGTAACACCCTAGAAATTCCTTTCCTTTAAAATACCTGTTTTGCTCTCTTAAAATACGCAATAGGAAATTCTAAGACATTACCGCCACCGTGAAAACGACTAAGACAACTATCAAAGACACACAGCGGAATACTCTCTTTAAAAAAAACCATTCAAAACAAGTCAACTTAAAAAGTCAAACCTAAGTCAAACGAAATCAACCTACAACTTGGAACCATTGTAGGCCCTTATCAATCGAAATAAATATTTAAAAACCATTGTGTTAGTCTCACAAGAAAAATATATAATATTCAAAGCAATAAACCACATCACATTCTTAGGGAAACTAAATATGATTCGCTCTTCACTCATGCCCATCATGAACATGCTTCATCACCTGAAAATCTTCTCTTTAATTTGTCCCCACTACTCGCCATTGGGAATGGGTCGTTGTAGTGTTCGGTTTTGTGATGTCCAACACCACGCGGAAGGAAACCTGCCCAAAATCCGCACACAAATTAAAGTAACTATTAAAAACTAATGCATCCCTACCTTTTAAAAAGTTTAAGTAAACACTTATGAATAATGTGTGGACATTTATACCCTTAAAAAGTTTATTTACTTATTTGCCTTCACTAAAATGTTAATTGCTTCTTTTTTTGAACTCTTATGAATAATGTGACATATGTACCCGTAAAAATATCTGTCTTCGAATTTTCCCTTGTTAAAAATGTTGCCAACAACTAAATTTGTGACATAAGACCAAATCGAAATAGTATTCCAGACATGACTAGCTATGGTACGCGCATTGCGCGCTTTAGCCGCCCTAGTCTAAATAAAATGGAGGAAATATGAGTTTAAACTGAGAGCTATATTAAATTCCATGGATTCATTGATTTTAGATAGAGAATTCATTTATCATATGTGTAAGATAGATTAATAGCGGAAATTACCATAAACTTTCTCGATTTACGCCAGGTTCCCCAAATAAATTGAGGAGTTCATTTTTCTTATATGAGATTCATCAATATCAAATAATACCATAAACTTCATCAATCTCCGCCTCAACCCAAGAAAAAACTCTTATATACACTCTAGTATAAGGTGCACTAAGTTACCAAAATGAAAATAAAAAACAAATATCATTCACCTCAATGGTATGACAAACTTTATTGTTCATGTATGTCAATTGATTTATATCGGATATTACACTAAACTTCATCGAGAGGAAATACATATTCCTCATAGTGAGAAACATGTATTGTTTTTCAAGTGGCAAGTTTTGTATATAACTTGCGTTGGATAACGTAAAAAACATTATAAATATATTCCTCAATTACACCTAGCAACCGACCTTGGTTAAAACATTAACCATACAAGTTAACAATGATATAGATTAGCAAATTCAAAGGAGAAAATTCATAAAATTTTGATGGAAAAAATCAAGTTTCAACGGAGAAAATCAAAGTCAATTTTAGCTTCAATGGAGGACATGATTACCCTTACCCTTTGGGGTTGCCTATGTCCTTAATTTCATCCTTTTTCTTGGGCTTTTTTGTTTATACCTTTGGCGTCATCTTTGAGGTCGTCTACGAGGTCGACTTCAATAATGACAATAGCTTCAATTGTGTTGGTGATGAGGAGGAAAAAGGCTTTAATGGTGTCGGGCCATCGGCTTAAATGGAGGAGCACAGAGCAAAGAGGATGAGGAAGAAAGAAGGCTTAACTCAAGTTGCAATATCTTAACAAGTTGCAATATCTTAACTCAAGTACACAAGATATTATATATGTGTCCTTGAAATTTAATGCGAAATGGCGAAAATACCTCTTGCTCGATGGGCATCTAGGATGTATGGACACTTCACCCAACTACTGTATTGAACATCGTGTTAGACATTGACACTCGTTGGACACACAACGATACGTCTCGGACCGTGTCCTACTACGATATAATATGTTGTGCTTTTTGACATGTCACCTTATCTTTACAACTTTTCATTTTATATTATTTTATTTTATTTTTTTAAATGAGAAAATTTAAGTGAAGTAAGTAGATTAGATAATAGTTAAATAATAGGGTGCCTTCATAAACGCCTCATTGTTATATGTGAACAAGTATGATATTGTTAATATGATATATTGTGATCTAATGAAAGACCGAATGACAATATAGAATTAGAGTGGAAAACGAAATTGATTAGGCAAGTACTTTACGCTGATTAATTTGATAATTTTATAATATTTACATATATGATTCTAAGTGTAGGTCATGTATGTGAATTTTAACATTCCGTATCCGTATTCTCTATTTTTAAATTGATGTTTTTCCGTATCCGTTTCAGTACCCGTCTCAACCAAAGCACCCTAAGAGAAGTGGGCTTTGCGTTGGGCTTACTCCCTCAACACTCACCTTCCTGTGATCATGGCAATTGATCTGTAACTAAAACCCAGAAATCCTCCCAAAACCTAACAACTTTCTCTCTCCTCCTTCTTCGTGTTCCTCTTCTTCACCTCTCAAACATATTAGTCGTGGCCTTATTAAATCTCCATTCTTCCAAAGATCAACATTTCAAGCTCAAATTAATTAATATAAACAAGAAATTTTCAATATGAATTTAATCTAATGCAAACAAATACTCATTTCTGTTGCATTTATACAGTTGAATCATCCAATCTTTGTTCTTCAAATGCGTTCTCTTATGGATTTGAGAAGACTTTCCACCATTAAACCCACCTTCTTCTTCTCCTCCTTTCGCCGACCACTTCGCTCAGTTTCTCCGCCATTTTCGCCGCCTCAAGATCAACCCCAGAAACTTGATGAGAGTTATGTCAAGTGGGTTTCTTCTGTTTTGTCAAACCCATCTCTGGAATCTTCTAAATGTAAAGAAATTCTAACTCTTGTATCCCCTTCTCAATTTGATCGTGTTTTTACTGAAATTAAGTCATTGGTTAATCCCAAAACAGTGTTGCAATTCTTTTATTATGGGATTGATTCATGTAGGTATTCTTTTAGTGTTAAATCCTATTGTGAATTGATTCGTTTGCTTGTTGGGTCGAATTTTAGTGATTCTGCTAGGTTGTTGTTGATTCGTTTGATTGATGGGAAAGTTCCTACTGTTTTTGAGAAATATAGTGATAGACATATTGAGATTGCTGTTGCATTGGTTGATTTGAATCTCGAGTTGGAGAAGTCAGTTGGGAATCGAACGTTTGATTTGTTGGTTCATGTTTATTGCACCCAGATTAAGAATGCCGGTTATGGGTTGGCTTTCGACGTTTTTAAGGTGATGGCTCAGAGGGAAGCTTTTCCGTCTTTGAAGACGTGTAATGTCCTTTTGAGCTCGCTGGTTAAGGCTGGCGAGGTTGAAAGGAGTTACGAGGCGTTTGAGATCATGCGGAAAGGAGTTGTGCCTGATGTTTATCTGTTTAGCACGGCTATTAATTCGTATTTCAAAGGTGGGAGGGTTAAGGATGGGATGGAGTTGTTTATGGAGATGGAGGAGGTAGGGATTTCACCTAGTGTTGCGACTTACAACAATGTTATTCATGGACTTTGTAGGTGTGGTGGTTTAGATGAGGCATTTCAATTCAAAGAGAGGATGGTTAGGAATGGTATGATGCCTGACGTTGTAACTTATGGAGGTCTTATTAATGGCTTGGTTAAGTTTGGGAAGTTTGACGAAGCGAATCACTTGCTACAGGAAATGCCAGAGAAGGGTTTGGTTGCTAATGAAATTGTTTATAACTCATTGATTAATGGGTATTGTAGAGTAGGAAAAGTTGGGGAGGCATTGAGTTTAAAAGATTCTATGTTGTCAAGGGGGATTAGTCCAAATTCATCAACCTTTAATTCACTTCTTCATGGCTTTTGTCAGTGTAATATGGCAGAGCAGGCTCAATCTCTATTGGAGGAGATGTTGTCTAGAGGGTTATCGGTACAGTTAGGGGCCTTTAATTCTGTCATCCGCTGTATTGGTATGAATGGTACATTGGATTCTGTTTTGTGTATCATCGAAGAGATGCTATCGAGAAACTTAAGGCCTAGTGATGCCCTGCTTACTACAATTATGGTTAGAAATTGTAAAGAGGGTAAACATACACAGGCTGTTGAATTTTGGTTTAGACTTGTGGAGAAAGGGTTTACACCAAATATAGTGACTTCAAACGCTTTAATTCATGGACTTTGTGAAGCTGGTATCATGCATGAGTCTGCTAGGCTTCTCAAGGAAATGATAAAAAGGGGTTTTAAATTGGATAGAATCACATACAATACCCTCATCTCAGGCTGTTGTAAAAATGGAAAATTGGAGGAAGCTTTTAATTTGAGAAATGAGATGGAAAAGCGTGGTATACAACCAGATATTCATATGTACAACATTCTTCTGCATGGACTGTGTAATGCCAATAAAATTGATGAAGCCATGAAGCTCTGGGAGGAGTGCAAAACAAGTGGAATGGTTGCAAATGTTCATACATATGCTGTTATGATCAATGGGTATGCCAAGGCTGGAAAGATTGAAGAGGCAGTTAGACTTTTCGATAAGCTGCTTGCTCAGAAATTAGAGCTAAACTCGGTTGTTTATAATTCACTTATTTCTGCATATTGTAGAGCAAACAATATGGTCAATGCTTTTCAACTTCGTGATGACATGAAAGGCAAAGGCATTGCGCCAACTTCTGTCACATATTCCTGTCTTATAGATGGACTGGCTAACACAGGTAGTGTTGATCAAGCTAGGAACCTTCTTGAAGAAATGAGCAAGGAAGGTCTGAATCCTGATGTATACTGCTATACTGCCTTAATGGGTGGTTACTGTAAGCTTGGTCAGATGGATAATGTGGAGGCTATCTTGCAAGAGATGTGCATGAATGGCATAATTCCAAATAAAATCACCTATACAATCATGATAGATGGGTATTCTAAAATGGGTGATGCCGAAAAGGCAGCTAAGCTTTTGGAGAAAATGGTTCGTGATGGAATTATTCCTGATAACGTTACATATAATGCTCTTACTAGTGGTTTGTGCAAGGAAGGAAAGATAGGAGAAGCATTTATGCTGACTGATACTATGACACAACAGGGAGTTCCTATGGATGATGTAACATATACAACCTTGATTCATGGGTTGGCACAGCCAATGGCATTTACAAACCAAGACTGATCAAGATGATTTCTGAAAATCTTAAATGGTTTGGCTCTTTCATGGTTTCTTTAGCCCAAGCTGTGTATGTTTCTATATTACTTTGAAAAGCATCTTTCTTGATCAGCTATCCATTGATAGTCCTTTTCTCACTTTATGCAGGTAGATCACTTGAGAGTTGAGAGAACAGTCTCATTGCTGTGTCTCTTGGCCCTGGCAAACCTTCAATTAGTGAAGCTCTTTCTTGATTAGACTTGTTGTTGCTGCGGTGAAAGGTGAATATACTTAAATTCTTGGAATATGTGTAGATTTGAGTTCTATTATTAAGTAGTGTTTGTCTAAATCTGGATAATAGTAGTGGCAGTCAATTGTTTGACACCTACATGATTGGTTGGAATGTCATTAGGTGATGTCAATTGTAAATCTTACTAACTTGCTAAGTTACCCTCCTTTTTGAGATAACAGTTAAGGTAGTTTTAAAATAAACTTCAATTTTTATGGTGTAAATTTATATTTGATTCCATTTTGTAGGTATTTGTGAAGAGTTCCTATTTTCCACACTCCCCAAAACCTTGCCTCAGGTACTTTATTTATTTTTAATTCTGGTTATTTATTTGGTGTTTGATCCTGCATCTATTGGTAAATAATATGCATCCATGCTGTTTCACATGGCCAATTTTGTCAATATGTGTGAATTTTTTCATTAGTATCTATTTATATTTTTGCATTAACTTTGTTTTTATGATTATCCGGGTATAATGAGTTGGGGCAGATAAAATACAGTATTAGAAAGTTGAAGGAGTTGTGCTATTATGTCCCTTGATGTCACCATCAACTTAGCTATTAAGTCAAACATTCTGGCTTTATTCAACATGTTTCTTATTGTTTTCTCATGAATTTTCTTTCAAGGAGGGTTTTTCTTTGTAGTCTTTTATGTTTTTCTATAGTTCTCGTTTTGTAAAGATCTATATCTGGATAATTTGCTTAGGCATTTGATGATAAAAACTTCTTCTAGATCTACGTGTCAAGTTATAAAATTAGGAGTGTGGTAGTACTGAATTTGAGACTGATTGTTCTGGGGTTATCCATGGTAGATGGATCTAACACAAGGGTTGGATAAAACTTTAGGGCTGCATGGTGTTAAGATAGGAAGATAGTAAGTGCTAATTTTAACAAACAATAATCTCACACTTCTATCCAAGTCAAGCAGTAACTTTTAACTGAAGGTTGGTCTTGTGTTTTTGCAGATGGAAGGCTCGCTCCAAAGCCTTTGTAACTGTTCTAGGAGATTTTGGTTCTGACTTTCTCTGTATACAGGTCCTTTAGCTTCTCTGTGACAGCAATAGTTCGTTTTTACTCTAATATCTAATGCTGTTAAAAGCTGCAATGTGTTTCCCAACTTTTTTTTCCTTACTCCAATTGTTAACATGTGTATTCTTGTCGCCAAATCAGGAATTAGATGAGTATGATAGCTTTTATAGCGGCAATGTGGAATGACTTCAATACTCAAGCATCTATTTCCAAAGGAATGGCCAAAACCGTGATGGTTGTGGAATCTTTTACAAGCTGGCCAGGTACATGGTGCTGTCTGACTCCTATGTATTTTTTTTTTCCTGACCTTAGATAATCAGGCTATTACTGTATTTGATTTCTGCTGTATACAAAGTTATAGTTTGTGAATTCCACGTCGTGTGTCAGACTTTGAAGCATTGACTTATTAATGTTTTTAATTTATACCCAATCATATGATAGTGTACTGTAGTGGTCTAAGTGTTAAAAAAAAAAATTGAGAGCGTTAAAAGCATAAAGGTTGGAACAGGTTATCTTCATTTATGAAAACCCAATTTTCATATAGTGGTAGATGTGATGTCATGACCTTTTTATTTTTTTTGATAAATGATGTCATGCATTAAGTTTGAAATTGTTTCTTATAACGAAACAAGAGATCATAAAGAGTGTATTTTATTCATGCACTTGTTAATTACTTGTAAGCTCAATACTCGTTGTTGTATAGATGATTAAGCTAGTTGTTGATTACATTTACACAACTTTTTGCCCTTTTTGGTCTCGTTCTTCTAATGGCCCAAACTATGGTGTGAATTTATGACAACATAAATTGAGTATACCAAAATCCATTTCCTTTTTCATATAATTATATATTATACGCCACAGATACCTAGCTACTAGTGTGTTTTGGATAGAGAAGATAAAAATGCTCTTACCCTAACCTTTGAGCAAGAAAAATTCTGCCATTTATGCTTTAAGATCTTTCTAGTGTTGCAGGATTTCTGGTATACCTACTTCATATCTTATTTCTTGGTACTTAAGTTTGTGTATTGCCCTTCATATTGTAGCTTTACCATAGATTTTGGTATACTCCAAGTTGGTCTTACAAGAAATTGAATATACTGATCTTGTGAAATCTATCAACAGTAACACATATAGTAGTTTGATGGATAGTGCTATTCAGTGGGTGGAGGAAATGCAAATGTTGAAGAAATCCAATGTTATTATTTTTTCACGTTTCTTGTCTAATTATGTTGTCTTCATGATATTCTATTTACTTTCCAGTTTTTATTTAATATATGTGGAGGGGCTGGAGACGCAAGGGCTTTGAGTTTTGCTATGTTATTGTGTTGTCTTTATTTTCAAAGCTCGAACTATCTCTTTCTCTCTCTTTTTTTTTTTTTTTTTTTTTTTTTTTTTTTTTTTTTAATAAATATTAAATCCTTCATATTTTCATGTTATCTCTAATATTCCTATTGCAAACAAGATTGTCACAAGATATACTAAGGCTGTTTGCATAATTAAGATGATGGCTGGCTCTTTTATTGTGGCTATTTTCTTTTTAAGTTTTGAATGCTTTAGCTGGCTATTTCCCTGTAAATCCTATATTATGTTGCATTTTTTATTGCAAAGGTTAACATGTAACTTTTAGTTACTGTACTTTCGGTTTGCTGGCTAGATATAGAAATTTGCAAATGAACAAAATCTTGTATAGCTTGTGTTCCTTGTTATCCCAGCTTTCTCCATCTTGTTAATGGACATAACTGAATCCTGGCATTGTGACCTCCACACTGTCCAAATTGACAGAAACAAGTCCCAATCTTGTGGTAGACAGTTATATTACTTTTAAATCCCCTTCTCATCTCTTCTAAACTCCCCTGTATCACCTTATTCCTCTAAATCTTTCTTGTTTTTATCATCCCAATTTTCATCTGAGATCCCTCTTGCTGTTCTGAACGTAAATGGATGTTAATGTGATTTCTCGCCCAAATGTTCTTGCACTTTATTACTCCGTATATAATGTAAATGGAGAATTGAAAATGTGGAATCTTCTATGGAGTATTATATTTTAGCTGTGGACTAGTTTTCATTGGATTTTTTCTCTTCTAATATTAACCCACATAAAATATGTGAACCAATACTTCAGTATGGTTTATTAACTTTCATTTGAATGCTTGGTTGTGGATTCAGGTTCGACAGAAAAAAGTTCTGAAAAAGACTGTGGAAACTCTAATGATCCTCGTGTCAGATTAAAACGTGATTGTATTGGAACTATGGCTGCATATAGACTAAAGAATCTTTCTCAGCTTCTTCATACTACTGTAAATACACATTTATATTGGTAAGTTCTCTGCTTAGGTTATTTTTATTACTTTGCCTTATATGTCTATACTTTGATTGGCATTCTTACTTCCAAGAAAAAGATAAACCTTTGATAATTTGAATGGTTATCATCTATTCTAGGGACCTAAAATGGCCTGATGATAAAAGCTGGGCTAAATATCTACTGTTGCTTTAGACCAATTCAAAACTATTTCTGAAAAATTTCTAACAGTGACCAGAGACTTCAACTCTACCCCAGGAGATCAGGTAGGATATATTACCTTTTCTACTTTTACTATAATTTAATGTATGTATGTTTTGTTAATATTCCTCGACATAAGTTCTTGTGCTATGGTCCGCATCTTTTTCTGCTGTAAGATTTTTTTCATACTTCCAACTTTTTTCCATGCCATATATAATTTGTTCTCTCAATATATTATAGTCAAGATTTACTATATGATCTTATAAAAAAAAAAAAAGAATGATTTACTATATGATGGGTGCTGGCTATGTGCATGAATCTGCTTACATGCTAGGAAACAAAATATACTTTCTCCGTTCTATTAATATTGCAACAATGGACTTTTTGCACTATTCATCACTCTTGTTTAACCATATAATATGATTTATACGTCAAGCAAAATATAGTCATGTGGAATCTTGTTGGATTCGTCTCATAAAATACTTTCACAATATCAACTTTTTATAATTTTTGCTCTTACACAATTATAGATATTTAGCATATAAAATGTGCTTTGGGATGCGTAATTTCATCCTTGTTGCAATATTAATAGAATGGAGGAAGTATAATTTACTACAGTTTAAAGACTTTTAACTCACTTTATATTGTCAATTAGCCAATCTTGAAGGAGTGTAGATCCTAGAATCATGATATAACTAGTTTTTTTTTTTAATAATTTTGCCAAATTTCATATTTTGTTTACTTTTGAAGGGAATACAATTAATACCTTAGGATTTCTGCCACTGCTGCTTGGTTTAAGATCTAAAAGTTTACTCCTTTTGTGTCTACCAAGGTGTACAATTACCTAATATCCGGCAACTCTTCTTTGGAGTCTACGGTTGAATGTCTTGATGAGTTGCCAATTCCTTTTAGCAGTGTTATGCCTGCACAAGTGGGAGAACCAGCATTCACCAACTGCACCCCTGGCTTTTCAGGTACATTGGATTACATTTCCATTTCGCCCTCCGGTTGGATACGACCTGTTAGCTTCCTAGAACGTCCTGATGAAGATCTTCCTCCCATCCTCCATGGCTGGCGGGCTCCCAAACTATTGGCATCCCAGTGATCCCCTTCCCATTGGTGCAGAATTTCAAGTCCATACACAATTTACCTGTATTTTATTTTTTTACTCAAGTACTTGCGGAGTATTTTTCTCCAAACCTTGCCAGATGTTACGGTAACCGATTATGATAGGATAGACTATTGTCTTGAGTAACGGACAGATATTTGCTCCTTGTTAATTGTTACATTGCCAACAACGCGACCAAGCTAGAATATCAAATGCCTCAATCAATTGAAAGCTATAAACTAGGATAAGATGAAACTAGCAAAAACCCTTCTATTGAGCCTTGAGGGCATTTTTTACGAAGACGATAAAAGTTCAGTAGGAAAATCACCTAGAAAAACCAATAAGACAGAGAAAGGTACATAAATCAAACTTAGTTTATATAAAGACATCAGAATTCATGTTATCAACCCAAATAAGAAGACACAAGTCGGAAATCCGGTTGCGTATAAAGTGGTACCAGGTGCTAATGCAAAGGAATTGCTTGATTTGGAGGATTTGCCAATGACCAAATATCGGTCTCCCCATTGGAGGATACACCTCTAAAGATATGCTTTGTTTTCTAAAAACACTCAACAAGGGCGAACCACTTATTAGAGTAGCGATTGTGTACGAAGTTAAGGGCAAACCTACTAATTAAAGTAGCGGTTGTGTACAAAGTTAAGGGTGAGTTTATCCCCAAACTCAGATTTGTTCTCCAAACTCTGCCACATCAGCTTTTCACTAACTTTTAAATACTATTTTGAAAAATTCCAAATGATACCATTAAACTATTGACTTTTTCAAATGATACCCTTAATTTATCTTTCTTCTAATTGGTGCCACCCAACTTTTATACTAATCATAACCGTAAACTTACTGTTAATGAAACGTTAAGTATGCCAGGGTTAGTTTGCTAATATAATTACATAATATCAACAAATTCATATTAGTACAACATATAGTTGACATATTTGACAAAAAATCAAAGACGACAACTGTACTTCAAGGAAGTGAGTAAAAGCAAAAGAACAATCAAACAAGAAAGATAAAAACTTGATTAAAATCAATCTCAAAAGTTAACCAATTTGACACTACTCATGATTAATGAAAAACAGTATAGTAGTACTGAAAATTTTCCTACACCTTTTCTTGTGTAGCATCGTTATTATCCGGCTTCGGCTGCGGCTAGCAGCAACCAATTGGTTGGTGGTGTTATTTTATTTGCGTGAGTGCGCGATTCCAATGGTGTTTAACCATAGAGGAAACACGGTTCCATGAATGACGAACCGTAGAGAAATAAATAAATTTGTCAATGGTATCCAATTTCTAATCGTTGGTTGGTACACCCGGGTGAATCAGTTTCTATTTTTTAATGCACATGGTACACATTATGGCTTTATAAAAGAACACAACATTGAAATATAAAGAACGTGATAATTTTGGTAAATCAGTTTTTAAAAAGGTAAAAGATAATTACCAATTGATTTTTACTTGTATTTAATGTCAAATCATTTCAAAATATTCAGTTTTTTATAATTTCTATTTTTATCAAGATTTCATTTTCAAATTTTAAAATTTGAAATTCATTTTCAAAATTTCAAATTCCTAAATTTTTTTATTTTGTTCTCTTCTTTTTTGAAACAATTCTCTAAATAAGCAATTATATTTTTTAATTTTTTTTATAATATTCATCTTGGTCATGTGTATTTATTATGAGGTTCATTATATGATTTTTAAATGTCCATGTTCTTTAATTGCAATTTTAATGTACCTTTATTGTTACACAATGTTCATTACTTATTGTAAAATGTTTTTTGAATTTTGTTTTAACATGTTCGGTAAATATAAATAATGTTCTTTAAATAATATTATCATGTTCATTATTAATATAGCGAATGTTCTTTAGATCTATCGGAAAACCAATCATCAATAGAACTCTTAAAAGTATATCTTCTTCATCAACCTTTATGATCCTGATCTATTTCAAAAAATATATATATACATAATTAGAAAATATTTTTTTTTTGGAAAAAAATACACAAATAAGTGAACATAGTTTGTAACGTGAAGAACATATAGTTCCATTCCAAATAACATAGTTTGTGACTATGAAGAGCATAAAGATTACACCCAAAGAACATGTCAATTAATCTCAAAGAGCGTATTCATTCCAATTTTTTTAAAAAAACAAAATGAATATGGATCAAAAAAACTGATAAGAGAACATTTATCCCAAACAAAAAGAACTTCATCTTCAACATTCGAAAATAACACAAATTAAAAAAAAAAAAACTAAAAATATATACATTTTCTTTCAGTGATGAATTCGTTAACAATGATCCATGAACAAAAATAATAATCTAAAAACATCATCATCAACAACAAAATTATGAAATATAAATTGAAAAAAAAAAAAAAAACTTCTCATTTGGTGACAAAATCTAAAATTAAATATCATTTATCAAAAACATGGTGATCATCAAGTACAAATCGACAATCATAGATCATGATGAAATTCACCATGAGCCATCATTTTCTCTTTAAGAAATGGTGTACAATGTAAATTTCATCCAATTTCGGTGTGCAATTACACTGAGGAGATCTAAGGGCAACATAGACCATAATCAACCATCTACGCCAAGCAAATCTTAACAAAATTAATAGGCTCATAGAACAAACTAAAACCATAACAGAGAATCCAAGACTACTGTTTAATGGTAATTATATTAGCAAACTAACCTAACCTAATTACACTTAACATTTTCTTAATAGCAAGTTTACTGTTTTGATTAGTATTGATGTATGAGTTTTATACCATGATTTATCCCGGTTTTACAACGTATATTTGCATGGTTTTAGGCTCTTTGGAGCCATTTCACGCTAACAATCTCTTCTCTAGTGTGTTCGATGTATTTTTTGTGAGTTTCATAGGAATGTGGAGTTTCTTGGATGAATCGAACACGTTTTGGATGTTTATAGAAGAAGTTAGTGCATGAAGAAGAAGGTTTCCCCCATGCCCTGTTGACCCTAGCTTGCCCGGTCAAACAGGGCAAAGAAGGATGAGTAGAACACGAAGTATTTGCATAAGACCCCATGTGCCCGATTGGGCATGTCTTGCCCGGTTGGACCGGGCGGGCACAGAGGAATTAGATGATAATTGAGATTTTCGAAGGCAGCAAGCAATATATGTAAACCGCCTCACGCGCCCGATCGGGCATGGTCCACCCGGTTGGACCGGGCACGTGGTGGAAGATGTGCTACGAAGGAAAGCAAGTGTCGTATCCCAGCCGCCCGATCGGGCACCCCTTGCCCGGTGGGACCGGGCACTGCTTCGCGGAAGCCGATTTGCTTATTTTCACAATTCTATCTTTTTGGGTGTATAAATACCCTTTGTAATCACAATTAGAAGACACTTAGTTAATTCCTAAAGCTTTATTTCTCTCTCTAGAACCCTAGTTACTTTCTTTCAAGCATTTTAATTCTCTCATTAGATTTAATTATTGTTCATCAACAATTTGAGTTATTTCAATTGAAGCATCATTGGTATTCATCTCTATTCTCTTCTTTTTCAATTATTATTGTTTTCAATTATGTTTTCTTTGATTATTTTTGTTATTGCTTATTTCAATATGTGTGAGTAGTTTTTATATTCCAAGATCTAGGGAAGCCCAATTATGATTGATGCATGAATTGATTCTTTAAATTCTCTAATAGCTATTGCAATTATTTATGCTAAGTTGATTGTGATTATGCCAATACTAGATTAGTGAGAAAATTAGTATTGTTATTATTCCATAGTTTTAATCACAACGAGAGTTGGGTTTTAACGGAATTGAGTAAATTAATTTAGGGTTTGAAATTCATCACGAGAGTAGTTGAATTGATAATTGGGAAGTGAAGTAAAGTGTTTAATGTCTCTAATTTGCATGATTCCATGAGAATAGGCTTGATTGTGGTTAGGGAAGCCATTGATACTCGAGAGAGGTCCTTGGTATTGATTAGGGTTTACTTTTCCCCATGTTATTTGGAATTGTATGTTAAGGGTAGATAGATAATTGCATCGATCGTAATTGTGGTGATACTTGATCTTGGATGTTTTAGCTTATTGATTCATTATATTCTTTTGATTTATTCTAGTTTTCCATACATTAGCTCTTAGTTTATTCCACCATTGATTGATTTTTGCTTAGTGATTACTTGAGTCTAGATAGTTTAGGTGAACCTTAGTCTCTTAGGATTCGACCCTTACTTGCCCGACTACATAGTTAGGAGGAATAGTTAGGTTATTTTTGTTAGGTACGCGACACGCCTATCAAATTTTGGTGCCGTTTCCGGGGACTAACGATTTCATTTGATTATCTGTGATTCGTTTTTTCTAAGCTCTATTCGTTGCTTCGGCTATTTTCTTTTGTGTTTTTGATATTCTCTCTCTAGTTTTCTTGTTGCATGCAAACACGCGTTTAGGGTCAGACGATCTTGAACCATTTGACTCTGAAATCGAGGCAACCATAAGGAGAAGGAGAATAAGAATTTGACACAATATAAATATTGACGATGCCACGAAATCCCTTTTGGAGTACGGTATTCCTGATACGACAACCGGACTCCTCTCTAGCATTGTCAGGCCACCAGTGACTGCTCAACACTTCGAGCTAAAGCCACAATTCATTCAATTCATCTCCAATGATTCATTTGCGGGCTCACCACATGATTGCCCGGTAAGTCATATTGATAGTTTTCTGGAGAAATGTGATACAATGAAAATGAATGGTGTTACAGATGATGCTATTAGACTTCGCCTTTTCCCTTTCTCATTACGGGATAGGGCAAGGGAGTGGTTGAGAGATGAAGGCACTGGCTCGTTCGATACATGGGACAAGCTAGTGAAAGCCTTCTTAGTCAAGTTTCTAGGACAGGAGAAGACTGCTAGGCTAAGAAACGAATTATCTACCTTCCGACAGTCAGATGACGAGTCTTTATATGAGGCATGGAGAAGATTCAAGCGCTTACAGAGACAATGCCCTCATCACGGTATCCCAGAGTGGCTGTTGATCCAAACATTCTACAATGGTCT